TGTTCTCTTTGAAGATTTGGGTGCTTAGGGGTTAATGATGGTGGCTAAAACCCTATCGCTTTGAATAGGAGGGATTAGTTTTGTTATTTTAGGATTAAGGTCAGTCTTATGGACAGGCTGCCACATCCACTCATCAGCCACTCCCTACCCCACTGGCACTCTGCTTGTGAATCTCAAATTCTCCTGTGGGCTGCTGATACTCTGAGTCAGACATTTTTTTCTTTTTAATGTCAGTAAAAGGGAAGAATATTCACATATGCCTACTCCAAAACCCAGAAAGGATTCACCCTAACCAGTTGTTTCCATAGGACACAGAGGAGGGAAGAATTCCATATGCCTCTGGTGGTGTTAGATTGACTGCACAGATAGCTATATTCTTCAACTTTCTCTGTATGTATACCTGTTGCAATATGACTTAGAAGCTTTTCTCCACAAGAGAAGTCTTTTTCCCTATCTCTGGGATATGCATTGCTTTGTGACTTGCCCTGGCTGATAGAACAGGGCAGAAGTGAGGAGCCTTGGCCTCAAGAGGACATGCAGCGTCCACTCTTTCTTGGACTCCTGATTTTGTCAGGAGAGCAAACCCTAGTTGGCTGGCAGGAGAACAAGAGACCACAGGGAGAAGGGGGAGGAGCCTCAGCAATAGCTAGCCAATTTCCATAGGCTAAAATGCCCAGTGGACTGGAGTCACATGAGGAGCTCACTCAAGATCAGCACTGCATCAAGCTTAGTCCAAAATGCCAAACTGTAGAATTGTCAGCTCAATAAATATTTATCATGGAAGACACTATGTCTTGAGGTTAGTTTGTCAAGGAGGACTCATTAACAAGGTTCATAGCCTCCACTATATTCCTTGGATCTATATTCTGGTTTCCTTTATTATTAATAGTATTGACAAAAATGCTAATGATAGTAATATATGGATACTGCAGAATATAGCACCATTTGGTTCACACCAATAGTACATCTAGGGAATCATTTCTATTTTGGGGACGTAAATGATGGAGAAAGAAGTACTAATGTTGTTGACTTTTAGTTAAAAGTCAGAGAGACTGATTGAGATTTAATTGTGAAAAAATTTGCACACTAACTGCTACATTGAGAAAATGAAGATACCTGGGCTGTTTTTTGGGTAGATCTGATAAAGGCATGAAACATTTCCAAACTTAATTTATTTCAACCTAAGCAAAGTCCACTGAGTATAGTGTATGCACACACATGTGATGAATGTACACTCTAATTAAAAGTGGCAAGGGGTGACTGTTTCTATTCCTGATGGTGCCGACTGTGTTTCCTTTCACTTTAGTTATCATCCTGGTGGCACGGAAGATTTAAAAGGCATTTTAATGAACGTCATCTCAGTTGATCTTCCCAAGTGTCCTGTCAAGTAAGTAAAGCAAGCATTGTCACAGCATTTAGCTTAGACACACACAGATTAAAGCTCAGGGAAGTTTCAAGACTCTTGATTAAATTTTCTTTTCATAGCAGCTGCATGAAAAGTAGTTTATAAACTACTCTTTATAAACTCTTTTTTTTCTTTATAAACTCTTTATAGTTTTGTGGGAGGTATCATTTATTATCTCTTACTATAGTATCTTTTACTATAAAATTTCATGTCACCAACCCTTGTTTGCAGAGGGCTATTGCTGTGTATGAGGGACAAAGGCTGGACTTCATGAATGAAGGGCAGTGGGGTCAGATGATAGCTGTTATTGATTTGCAAGTGGCCCTTGCCCTTCACTGAGGAATGCCAGTTTTTAAAAAACTTTATTTATTTATTTATTTATTTTTATGTGGTGCTGAGGATCGAACCCAGTGTCTCACAAGTGCTCTACCACAGAGCCACAATCCCATCCCCAAGGAATGCCAGTTTTTAGATGCTAGCTGACAGTATTAAGGGAAGTTTCACAGAAGAAGAATGGATCCAAAGAATGCTAGAAGTAGGTGGAAGGCAGCATACTGCTCTATGGCAGTGCTTTGGGGAGATGTTCAGGAGTTGGCATGAACTTCATGAAAGGGTTGTCTTTGGGAGGACTCCCCTAGAAGTAGACCCTCCAACAAGAATTTCACGACCAGTTGTTTATTTGAGAAAGGGTTCTAGGAAACATAAGTAGCAAGGTGAGAAAGAGAAAGAAGAGAAGGTGGACAATACAGACAGTGATAATCATCAGGTAAATTCTCAAGAGAGAAACTGGAGATTGAGTCCATGGGGGAAACTCAGGGAGACAATGAAGGATGCATACCTCAGTGGTGTCCCAACCCAGGACTGAGGCAGCTAGAGTGTCCACTCCCCATCCATCCTTGGTTGAAGACTGTTTCTGAGCATTAAATTTCAATGAATACAGAGAATTTTCTCTATTAGTTTTTTTGATTCCCTACTGCTATACCCATAATACTTAGAACAGGGCCTGGCATATAATAGAAATTCAGTAAATATTTATTGAAGGAGTGAGTGAATGAAAACTGGCTTCCTAAGACCTTCTAAGAAATCCATTCCTGCCATGTTTGCTGTTCCTCTTGGAGCCAAATGTCTCCTGGAGTTTCCTCGTTGGCTGAATTGAGAGCCAAATGTCTCATGGAATGTACCATCTTGGCCTCTCTTGAACTTTAGAGCCACACATATCTGGTTTGAATCATGCCTTTGCTACTTATTAGCTAAGAGATCTTGTTCAAATAAACTGTCAATGTTTTCATCTGCAGAAGGGGACTAATATAAGCCAATTTTGCAGAATTTTTAAGAGGGTTTAATGAGTCAACATAAAAGAGGCACTTAACAATGTCTGGCATGTACTTGATGGTCATAAAATATGAAATTGTCCTTTCTCTTAATAGCCAGTGCAATCATCAATTTGCTAATGATTTAGTGACATAGAAATCAAGGAAAGTTGGTCAAAATAGATGCCAGGGAGTACTTAAAGGAGGGATAACAGAAACTAGAAATGGAGAGAAGGACAAGAGGAAAGGACTGTCTCACTAGGATCTGGGACCACTCTTCAGCTCTGGTCTTTTGTAGAAGGGTCCTTTCCTAGTGCCATGTATGGGGGTTGGGGGGACATAGAAGATTTAGCCTTTACAGTGTTCTGTATTCACTAACCATTACATTTCTAATACATTTCCTGGGTTGGCACATTGCCCAGAGATGAATTATCCCTGGGGATCTATCCTCCTTTAGCTAGAAGTTGCTGACTTCATAAGAACTGAGGCAGGACAAATGAAATCATTAAAGGCAATGTGCTTCACAATGAATTATGTGACTGGTCTTAAAAGCAAAATGCTTGTATTTTAACTCTCATGCACTTAGTGTATGATTTTAAATTCTCAAACAATATGAGAATACATTTACTGACTGGTGGAGAACAGATGGAGTTTGGAACAGAACATGGCCCACATGCTGACCCTTTGGCAATTTTGACATATAGAACATATTCACTTTCTCTGTCTTCTAGCATCCCTTTTTACTGCCATGATTTTTAAGGAATAAATGTGTTCTTACTCTAGTTCCTTAGAATAGCTTCCCTGAGCATTGGGGAACCTACATAATGTGTTCTGAGGCTTGGAAAGAGGCCAAAGAACAGCAAACATTTATTTACAAGGACAATGTTGTCATCTCTGTTTTTTCATCATAACTGGTCTCACCAAATTTCGTGGGTAAAATTATCTGACAGTCAACCTAGGGAATCAGGATACATTTATCTGCATTGTTATTATGGGGTTATGCAGAGAGTTGTGCAGGTGGAAGACATGGAAGTGATGGAGGAGATGGTGGTGTGGGCAATGTGGAGGTACAGGTGGTGGTGGTGGTGACAGACATCATAGAGGTGATTATGGTGATTGTAATAAAGGTGGTGATAAACAGTGATAGTGGAAGTGCTGGTTAAGATAGTGGAGAAGGAGTATAGGCAATGTAAAAAATGAAGATGGTGGTTGGGGTGGTGGTAGAGGTGATCGTGTAGAGGTATTGGTGGTGGCATTGTTTGTGGATGTAGTGGTAGAGACCATTATGGTGGTAAAACTGTGATGGCAAGAGAATTGAAAACATCAGTCTACAAAAACAAACAAACAAAACAAAACTTCCACATGAATGTTCATGGAAGCATTAGATATAATAGTCCAGAGTGGAAGTACCCAAATGTCCATAAATTGATGAATGGATGAAAAAAATGTGGCATATCCATACAATGGAATATTATTTGGTCGGAAAAATGAATGAAGTACTGATACACCCTGCAACATGAATAAGCCTTGAAAACATGCAAGTGAAAGAAGCCCAGGTGAAAGAAGTCAGCAATAAAAAGACCATTGTATGATTCCTTATGTGAAATATTCAGAACAGGAAAATCATTATAGAGACAATTAATAAGCTAGTTGTTGTCTAGGGTTGGGAAAGTGAGATGTGAATGATTGCCAATAGGCATGTGGCTTGCTTTGGGGGTGATAATGATGTTCTAAAATTATACTGGATAACTTTGTTATTAATATACTAAACAACCTTTGAATTTTATATTAAAATGCTAGATCAGCATTCTGCTATGGAGTTATATGCCCAGCTCAATGGGTGCATTTTATGATAAGTCCATAGAGTTATAAAAACAAATTGGGGCCAGTACTGATGGTGGTGGTTGTGATTAGTTAAGGGCTGAACTTTGGTTGGTGGGTATTTGGAGGACAGGAAGGAAGATAAAAGTTGACTGACACCAGATGTACCTGAATTTACATAGGACCAAGCTTGATTTTTTTCAGTGTCTGCTGGAAACGACATTTTCCCCCCACAGCTAATACTGAATTCACAGGCAAGTATTTCTAGAACAAATTATGAAAACAAGGCCAAATTGTCAGCTGCCTTGGAATGATGTTTAAAGAGGACATCTTTGGTTCTTCCACCCAGTGTTGTCTTCACATACAACTGGCTTCTTAGGAGAAATGGAACAGAGTAATGAGGCTTTGTCTTCTTGTGTGAATGCCAAATCAGACGGGTCCATGAAGAAATTAAAGCAGATATCTGGGGTCTATAATTTTTAATAATTTTAAACTAGCTACAAAATGTCAATCACTTCACAAACCGACAGAGGAGACAGGAGGAATTTAATATTACATGCTGTAATGATATTTATCTCACAGTTTATATTTCATTCATTTATATTATTTTTTAAAGGTTTCTTTATCAGCTACTAAACATCTCAGCAATTTGGTGTGCATAGCTCTAGATTAAGCAACAAAGAATTGTACTGATAACGAATCACAGGGGAAATGGTGATCAACAAGAGTCACCCTTATAAAATTTACATCTCCACACTGTTTCACAGCAAGATTATTTTCTCCAAAACATAGCCTTCAAAAGCAGCAAACAAACCCTATATTACATCCATTTGACATAGTTTCAGCCAAACATATATTTTGCTGGAAATGATTGAATGGTGAGTGTGTCAAATCCATCTTTTTTTAAAATTCATTTTTTTAAAAAAGGATGATTATGGTTAATAAGTCTATATGTCGACAGAAAGAAAGTGACACTACTGCAGTTTTGCTGGTATAACTTAATCTTGACAGTGTCTCAATACTGAGCATGCTTTGTTGGTTGGTTGTTGTGTTGTGTGTGTGCGTTGTTTTCTCATCAGTATGCTATTGTCATGGAAAGTTTTTGTTTAAGTAGGAATCTAAAAATCTATTTAGTTCTCATGCATAAATGCATAAATCACATCACTTTTAGTGCAATGCCTGTTATGTAATTCCACATTGTCTAATCATGAAATCATAAAGACAGATAAGAGCCATGAGGAACTAAAGACAGCACATTTTGAGAGATTCAGAGCCTGACACCCAAAGAAAGGACCCTGGCAGTAGCTCTGTGGAATGTCACAGTTTTACGAGAACAATACTGTGTATTGAAAGAATCAACAGCACATTGAGCATTCCTAAATTGTTGTCATTCAGCAAACGCCACTGAGGAGAGAAAAAAAGGAAAAATGAAACCCAAGACATCTTACACAGAGTGTTAGAGCCACTAAATGACCACTATGTACAACCTTTGGAAAGAAAGAGACTCAGAGAACAAAAGACATATGGCATTGTCAGAAAGCTGACAAATGACACAGGACAACATTCACGATGGGGGTGGTCTGATGTGTGTGTGTGTGTGTGTGTACGTGTGTGTGTGTGTGTATGTGCAAGACCTACTCGGTAATACCATGAGAAAAGCATGAAGGAGCTATCTTGCTCAACAGCATTCGGAAGAGAGCACAGTTGAGAATCTTTAACCACTTCCCAGCATCTTTGTTGCACGTTGGTTGGCCTCATCGATTCTGGTTTTGTTGGAATCAGCCTAGAAAAAAGAGAAAGAAAATGGAACCCTTAACATCTTGTTCATCTTTTAGGGTCCAGGTCAAATGCTTCTTGGGTGAAGAAGATACCCAGTCAGAATTGGCCACTCTCACTTCTGTGTTTCCAAGACCATTGCTACAGCTCTACTTGGATGACCACTTAAACTTGATTTTGCTTTTTCACGGTTTTCCCCACCAGAGAGCATTCTTTGTCATTTATCTTTCTATCCTGGAAGGATAGTTGATGACTTCTATGGTACATTCATCTGTTGGACTGAGTTGAATCACCACCACTGTACAGTCATGGTTCACTTATTAGCTGTGTCAGTTTGAACAAACTGTATCTCGGAATCTCAGCTTTCTTGTCTACTCTCTGGGGACAATAAAGAATACAGCCAGAGAGCATGAGCATCTACTTTGTTCCATTTATTCAACATTGATAACATCAACCATCAGGTGTGTGTGATTATTAGCTCCTTTTTCCAAGTGAAAAAATTGGGCAGACAGGATTTAGGCAATTTGTCTAAAGTCTTTGGGTGGGGGGACACCACAACCAGAATGCAAGTAGCCTGAAGTCAGAATCCATACTGTATGTATATCACTCTACTACTTAGGTTTGCAGAGAGGATGAATCAAATCTATATTTGTTACTATGTAAGTAATGTGCTTAGAATAACATTTTGCCTGTGGGACTAGCCTAGGTGTCCATCAGGGCATAAACGGATAAAGAAAATGTGGTATATATACACAATGGAGATTTACTCAGCCATAAAGAAGAATTAAATTATGTAATTTGCAGGAAAATGAATGGAACTGAAAACCATTATGTTAAGCAAAATAAGCCAAATTGAGAATGTCAAGGGTCATGTGTTTTTTCTTATATATGGAAGCTAGAGAGGAAAAAGGAAAATAAGGTGTGTGTTTGTAGGGGGGGGATCTCATGATAATCAACAGGAGATCAGTAGAGGAAAGAGACCAGGGCAGGGAAGAGGGGAGGGAAGGAAACACTGGGGAATAAAACAAATTATATTATTGTATTGTAATTCGTACAATTATGTGACAATGAACCCCACCATTACATACAATTCTAACGCACCAATAAAAATATGGAAAAAAGAATGTTTTGCAACACAAGTGCTCAATGCATCTTATCTTGCAGTTACTATAAACTACGGCTTTTGGGGATACTTGATCATTTTCAAACTCTATTCTGAAGACTCACAAATGTGAGTATATAATTGACTGGTCTACCCCCACCCATCTCCTTCCTCTACTCTACTGGTCTTCCTTCAATTTCTGATATTTTATTAATATCACAAAGTGGAGGTCAGGAAAGTCTTGTGATGTTGCACGCATCTTCTCTCTTAACTCCAGTGACCATGTTTACCCACCTCTATTCATCATGATCTATGATATTCTGTCATCATTTGAATTGATAGTGAAGTTTTGGGAGTCCAAAACAATGAGACTTTCAAAACATGTAAATATTCTTCTAAGGTCAAAATATGTTTTTTGACCTTAAAGAAAAAAAAAGGAGGCAAGTGTATATCAGATGCTTTGGTACTTTCTACATATATACAAAGGAGAAAAAAATATGGAATGAACCTCACAAAATCATGTTATATACATGTATAGATGTACCAAAGGAAGTACCAATCCAAAATAAGTAAATAAAGGAGTGACAGGCAGAACAGTTTGAGAAAAAGGGGAGGGAGGAGGGAAAGAAGGGGAGGCAGAATGGGGGATTGACACCAAATTCCTTGTATGTAGAATTATGTCAAAAGGAATATATATATATATATATATATATATATATATATATATATATATATATATATATATATAGAGAGAGAGAGAGAGAGAGAGAGAGAGAGAGAGAGAGGAGAAGAGAACTTTCATTCCTATTCTATTTCTTTATTGCTTTTATTGGTGCATTATAGTTATACAGATGCTATATAGATAGCATAAGTTGGTCAATTTCATTCCACTCTTGCCCCCCCTTACTCATCCCTCCTCCCTTCCCCTAGATCCCCTGCCTCTGCTCTACTGTTCTTTTTATTTTCATGATAGGCTTTTCTTTATTGGGGGCATATTTACTATAATTTTTTTTGCTCCCTTTAATCTTTGGGTTGATATCTTCACTGCTTAGATTACATTTTGCTACAAAAAGAAAGCATAAAACCTCGGAATGCTACCAGAATACACCTTAAACCTCAGAAAATTGATCATTCTCATCACCACTGAGAAAGATGGATTAGAGTCAGAGACAACAATTCTGTTTAGTTGTCATATCCTGTCCTGATGGGTAGTGTTGTCTGTAATTCCACTCTGGAAAGAGGAGCATGAAGCATCCAGGCAGGGCAGGGAAACAGAACTGTGTTCTTAATTATTATCACTCAGTGATTACTGAGTTTACACCTACTACCAAATTTGGTACATTTCAGCCTCTACAGAGTTGGGTCTTCTATGTTCAGTTGGAATTTTGAATTTCTAGGGCATTAGGGTCATCCATATTCAAATAGAAATTTGTTAGACTATGTGCAGTGGTATGCACCTATAATCCCAGCGACTGTGGGGACGGGGGGTGGACTGAGACAGGAGGATCACAAGACAGAGACCAGCCTTAGTAACTTAGCAAGACCCTCTCAAAATTTAAAAATAAAAGGGTTGGGAATGTAGCTTAATGGTAGAGCATCTCTGGGTTCAAGCCCCACAATTGGAAAAAAAAAGTTCAAATAGAAATTTGCAAAGTTGAACTTATTTCTAGATAATTCTTCATTTGGAAAATTGAAAATTCCTCCAATTTTATTTCATTCTTAAATCCTCCCTCTCCAGCTATATATAATATCAGAAATAATGATACTTCAGTGCAAAGGAAATTTACTAGCTCAGACCAATGTGAAATGTTCCTGAAGATTGAATTATGCTGACTGTTTCCAGGCTGAACTCTGAGACAAACTCAAACAAGAAAAATAATCCATTTAAAAACAGATGACATTTCTGAAGTCAAACATTCTAGAACCTCTTGCATAAGAATGCAGTGATGAGCCTTCACACAGTGGCACAGGGGATGTTTGCATGGAGCATAAGGCTACTCTTTGGAGATCCTCAAAGATGTGCAAGGAGCTGGAATTGACCTTTGTTCAGTGGGCATTTGTGATTTCCACCTAAATCCTTTCTGAAGAATATTTAATTCCTACCCATCTAATACCCAACATAAAAGGTACCATGGTTTTATTATATAAAATATAAAAAAGGATGTGTCTTTTAGGAAGAAAAATGTCCTAAATCTCCTTTTAGAAGTCTTCCTGGTATTTGGAGAATGCCTCTGTTCATTCTATTTATATGCTTGAGGACTTTATTTATGGAGGCTAACCCATTCCAGAGTTTTCACATTTCTATTTAGAGAATCCTAAACTTGCTTACATCCCCAACATATGCTACATGATTTGCCCTTATGAGAAAACAGAAATGATCACCAGAGAGCCAATAAGTAGTTTAAGGAGCTGCTCAGCCCACATCTGAACACTGGGAATCTCCTCAACTTCAGACTATGTCAGGTAGCTTTTAGGCCCAAACTTCTCAAACTGGATGCTACTCATTCCATATAGCTACTCATTCTGAATATAAGTATGAACTTTATTATTATTATTATTATTATTATTATTATTATTATTATTACTACTACTACTACCACCACCAGGGATTGAACCCAGGAGCACTTAACCACTGAGCCACGTCCCCAGCTCTCTTTTGTGTTTTTATTTAGACCCAGGGTCTCGCTAAATTGCTCAGGGCCTCGCTAAATTGCTGAGGCTGGTTTTGAACTTGCAAAATACTCCTGCCTCAGCCTCCCGAGCCACTGGGATTGTGAGTATGCCCCACCATGCCTGGACTGAACTGTTATCTTTTAGATGTGGCAACCAGGTCACAGAGCTGGTGAATGCTGTTGGGATCTAACATCTTAGTTTTTAAATGCTGCTTTTCCTCACTAATGGAAGAATTTGAGGATTGCTAAAAAATCAGCTTCGATGCTTCTCAATGTGACTTCTACCACTGACAACTTTAAATTGCAATTTCAATATCACTGTTATTTCCTTAGCAACCCTTCCCAAAACATCTGATATACACTTGCCTCCATTTTTTTTCTGAAAGAACTGTATGTTTTTGACCTTAGAAGAATATATATATATAAGTACTCTTAAGCAGAAAACAAGGATTTTACATGTTTTGAAAATCTCATTGTTTTGGACTCCCAAAACGTCACTATCAATTCAAATGATGACAGAAGATCATAGACCATGATGAATACAGGTGGTAAACATGGTCACTAGAGTTAAGAGAGAAGATGTGTGCAACATCACAAGACTTTCCTGACCCCCACTTTGTGATATTAATAAAATATCAGAGATGCAGGAGACCTCTGCACACTGTTTTCTGTTATTAAGAGTCAGAATCTAATGTTTCCTTTCACGTGTGGAAGCTAAAGCAAAATAAGGAAAAGAAGGTGATTGCAGAGGGGATCAGATGTTATAAATACCTAGGGAAGATCAGCGGAGCAGAAGTAGACAAATGAGAGGGAGGCAGGGAGGAAGGAAGGGAAAAGGAAAAAAATATGTAATGAGCCTCACAAAATCATGTTATATACATGAATAGATGTACCACAGGGAGTATCTCCTTTGTGTACATGTAGAAAGTACCAATCCAAAATAAATAAATAAAGGAGTGAAAGGAAGAACAGTAGAGGAGAGAAAAAGGGGATGGAAGAGAGAAGGAAGGAGAGGCTGAATGGGGATTGACATGAAATTCCTTATATGTACAATGATGTCAAAAAGAAGATGGGGGGTGGGGGGAGAGAGTGGGAGAGAGAGAGAGAATTTCCATGAGAAGACCAGTCTGTTAGTAATTGTGCAGCTCAGTAACATGATCATTTGGGGCAATGCTGGGTTGAAATGGGCTCTGTCTCAATCATGCCCAGATTTTGAGTTTGAAAAAAAAATAGGGGGTTGGTGCTATTTACGGTATTGACTGGAATAAACTAACTAATCAAAAGCAGCTAGACTCCTCCCCCATTTTTAAATGATTCAGCACTTAAGGAATGATTCCCACTGGACCAGCTATTTCCCATCCACTTTCCCCGTTTTTGACTAAACTTTATGGCTACATATGTCTCTGTGGAGTACACTGGACCTAGAATAAAAGGTTCTCCCTAAAGATGAGAAGTAGAAATGCAGAGTGGCAGAATCAAGATGCCACTTGCCTTTCCAGGAAGAAATGCTTTCTCTTGCTCCAAGACCAACTCTATCAATGAGAGTTTGACCTCACCATTGGTAAAACCTCTCCTTTAGGAACCTAATTGACTTTGATGAATTATCTTCTTGCATCTGAGTAAATTGGGTCCATTACTAGAAAATGAATGCTTCCTGTTTTCTCAATCATTTTCTTGTTGGAAAGCAGTTCAGCAATTATTTCTAAGTTCATTTTTCTGGGCCATAATGGCTTGGATCAGGTCGTGTAGAAACTCTCAATGTTTTTCTAAAATCTATTGACTTGCACAGCTTTAAAAGCTTTATCACATCAAAAGCTTCTTAACAATGATAATGTGCATGCCATAACTTGCAAAAGTAAAGTAAAGCACAGCATTTTGCCAACCAACTGTGACTTCTGTGTAGCTCTATATCGATTAGGCAAAATATTATGCAACTAGAGATTCTCAATATGGGGCACATACAAGACAATAGGGCAACACAATCTCTGTATGTCTATTTGTTTCTTTTTCAAGTTGCTGGAGGCTATTTGGGTATCAAGAAACTACTAGGTAAGTCTTGTGACTCAAATGATCACAAAAGTATCCTCCTCTGCTCACAGAAGAGGAATTAATTGTTATAAAAAAATTCAGGATCTTAGACTACTTCAATATCTTACAGAATATATATATATGCATAAGATTAGTGAAACAATTACTATTATTATTATTATAACATGTTTCTTCCTCCATTTGGTATTTGGACCTTTAAGAGATAATAATCAATATTCAACACCTTACTGATTGGGGAAGGGGTTGACTACAAGGAAATAGAAATGATGTCAGAATTGTATGGTATAGAATATCAGATTTTTGGTACCCTAAATGTCTTTATAGAAACTTCCCAGTATTCTTTTCTGATTTTTTTGTGCCCAAGCCCATCCCTTCCCATTCTACTCTCTTCTGTCTTCCCTAGGATTCCTGTCAATGCTAAGGGGGTCCTAGAGACAAGTCTGGTATCCTGGAGTGAACTCAATTTCATCATGTAAGTTCCTCTTATTTTGAAATTTTGGGCTATGAAGTGTTAGGTTGGAAATGAAACCTAGCTCCTCTTAAATTATTATTAAACCTTTGGTATTTATCAAAACAAAAGCTCATACTTACCTTTGGGCTAAGCTATTCTTTGCCCCATTTCCTGATTCTAGTTCTTCACCATCTCCACTTGCCTACTCCTAACCATCCTTCAGGATTCAATGCAAATACAACTTTTTCTGAAATATTTCCCAATCCTTGCCTAGAGTGCTTGCCTAGAATGCACAAGGCCCTAGGTTTGATCCGTAGCACTCCACCCTCAAATCTACATTCTAATCTTCACTCAAGTTCTGTTGCTGAATCCTGTGGATTTTTGTTTGTTTGTCTGTCTTAGAAAATTAAAAGCACAATTTCCAGCAATTAATATGCTTGAATCCAATGTCAGGGAGTGAGGGTATTGTGCCCGTCACACTTCCTGTTGGTTGTTTCAGAAATGACAAGCAGAAACAACTTGTAGACTGCAGCATGCTCACCTTCTCCATGATCCTGTCGATCTGGCGATTCTGCGTATCGATCTCATTGCCCATGTCCAGGGCCATGTGACGGAGGTTTCCAATGATGCCGCTCACCTGCTCCAGGTTTTCATCCATTTCATTTTCACGGGCATCATTTGTTACCCTAGGAGCCACAGAGCAAGTTTTAGAAGATCGAGGGTGGGAAAAACCTTGAATATTAGACTCAACGCTTAGGGAAAGTCTGGACCTCGAAAGCTTCCATGTTCTCTATCTTAAACCTCTATCCAATACAAGTACACGGTTAGCCTTTGTACATTCAACAATAATTTTTAAAATTGTGTTTAGAGCTGGGGATATAGCTCAGTGGTAGAGTCTTTTGCTAGCATGAGTGAGGTTCTGGCTTCAATCCCCAGAATTGCTAAAAAACAAAACAAAAAACCCAAACATACAAAAATTGCATGTTGAACCCTTGAATTTTTAAAGAAAGTATACTAAATAGATTTATCTACTTTTCTGACTTACACCAGCATATCATCTCTCCTTTCATATATATGATTTCTATACATTTTATTCTTTAAGATAAAATCATTTTAGATAGAGAGACTCTAGTTCAGAGAAGGAAAGTGGAGCTAAATAGAAACTGTGCTTTCTTTTTGAACCCAAATCTCCAGGATTCAAATTGAGAACAAAAGAAAATGCTTATTATGCTGAGTTAGTGAGTATCTCACCTCTTTTCCCACTTGGAATCAATTATCAGTGGGAAGAGTAAGGATAATTACAGTCTGCCCTTTAATCCTGCAATGGGAACTCTTTATTGAAGATGATTTTTATTTGCTCAAATTTTAATGCAAAGGGTTTTTATTATGGGTATTGTGAATGGGTGATTTCAGAGCAGAAAGCTGTGATAAAATATGGTTTGGGTTTGAATGGGGTAGATGTGGAGAGGAAAGAGTTGGCTTACAAAGCACCTTACCATTTTTTCCACATTCCAATGTGAAGGCAAAGAAAATACTTTATTTCAAATAACAAGTGTTTATTGCATACAGTAAGCACTACTCTAGATTTTCCCAAAGGAATAAAAAATGTTCAGAGAAATTAAAATCCCTCCCCCTTGGGTAACATCCAATGTAGTCTGACCCATTATGATTTTTCAAGTAGTCCAGGCCAGAGAAAATTCAAATATTAAGGGAGAAATTCCTAGATATTTTTCTTATAGGGAAAAAGCTTAATTTAATAAATGACCACCAATAAGTACTACACATCCTAGTTCAATGGTTGTCAACTCTTGTTGAATATTAGAATCACCTGAGGAGCTTTAAAACCACAGATGCTTGTGTTGTTTGTCAAGATTCTGAATCAACAGGTGTGGGCTGGACATAGACATTCCTTTATTTTTTAAAACTCTCCCCAGTTGAGTCTACTATGTAGCCATTGCATTGAGAACCCATTGGTCTGGTTTCCCTAGGAGAAGATAGAGGTAGAAAGAGAATTCTCATCTGTGAACCTACAGGTGCATTATCAAGACCTTATATGTCAGTGACAGTGACCCATCATTTCAATCACAGGGGTACTATGTGACCAACAACAGTTATGATGGCCTGGGAATAGGTAGTTGTGGAAACAATTGCCCTAACCCTGACTGAGCCCTGGTATTGTAGTCTATAAAAAGAAACATGCTTTTTCTTTTCATAGGAAATATTTAGTTATTATTCTGTTTTCTGGTATCCTAAGAGCTATCTGAATTCTGAACTGGCTGAACTGTGTAATTGGAGGTTTTTAAAAGAGGCATTTATTTTTTTCCTCAAAAGAAATGGTTATTAAGCAGCTCATTCACTGTTTTCTATGTTCACCCCAAATCTATGCTTTAACTTTCCTTGCTCTATGTTCTGAGACACTGACCTCCATGACTGTATCACCCAGCTTCTCTTACCCTCTGGGTTCCAATGGGTTTGGCTAATGGCCTGGGAGATTAAGGAAGGCAAGAGGAGTGAAGTGTTGTGACATTTGTTTATTTTCTGCATTCCCTGCTAGATTTGGCTGTGTCTGCATTTCTCTACCCGTAGCCCCTTGTCACAGTCATAACTATTGTTGGGTTCTGATACCAGCTCCCTTTCCTGTCCCTTTAGATGGTAATAGCTTCTTGTTATTGCTAGTCCATAAGTGCTCCACCATTTATTGTTATTAATCCTGCCTAAACCTCTCTATAAGCTTTGTTCAACTAAACCCATGGGATGAGATGCCCATCAACTGCCACACTGATATAATGGATGTGGTCATGTGATTTGCTTTATCTAATGAAGCTTGGGCAAATATGACACAAGTCAAGGCTTGCTAAGTGCTTGTTCATTAGAGCTTGCCACCTTGGTATGCTGCTATCACCATAAAGACACCTTGATTATTCTTCTGGAAGACCATGTGGAGGAGGACAGAAGTATACCACTGACAGCTGCAGCCAACCACCACACAAGTGAGTGAGACCCTCTTGGATCATCCTCTTGCATCTTAGTTGCAGGAAGCAGGACGAGTAAGCCCAAGAGAGGCTTGTGGAAGAGACTTCTGGCCAACATATAGACTCATGAGTAAAACAATGGTTGTTATTTCAAGATTCACTCAGTGTTGGGGTGATTAGTTATTCAATAATAGGTAACGGCTGAAGTGTGGAATGCATGAAGCTCACCTGCGGATGAAGCCACCACTGATGGCCATTTGCTCCCGTTCATCCACCACACGAGCAGGCTGGCTGGCCACCACTCCATCCTGATTATTGCCCCAGGCTTTTTTGTAAGCATCACTTGATTTAAGCCTATGCAAAAAAGAGGGTGAGTGACAAGGCATAGGGTGGAGCAAGCTCATGGCAATCATCACCTCTTCAAGCGAAGAACCGAACCAAGCAAATGAGTTTTAAGTTGAGGCATTAGAGAATACCGATATATCATAATCTGGACCCAAACAGTTGGCCACCACCATGCCTCCACTACTCATCATTCATTTTCAATTGAGTCGATTGCAATGGTCAAGACTGCAATCTTTGGTTTGTTTTGTGGTTTAATTGGATTTAAGATAAAGATTGAGGTAGCTGGAGAACATTCAGTTTTATTTCAGTGACATGGTTATATTTTGAGACACAAAACACAGAAAGAACATACTGGCAGACATACACAAAACAAGACTGCCAAGTAGGGTGTGTACATCACACCACAGCAACACAGTGTCATCAAGAAAAACATACTTGACCAAGTTTTTACACCATCATGCAAAGATCCCTGTTAATATGTTTTCCCTAACACATATGTGGAACTAACATTTCCAGTGCTTCATGAAGGACATAAAGGATTGGTGGTTGGCCAAGGGTGATGGTCTTTGAGGAGTTTCTAGAGAGATTTGAATTAGATAATATATCGGTACTTCCAAACAGTCACCATACATCCAGAGTTGATGTACAAACCTTTGTCCACAGAGACAAAAAGTAAAAGAAGCATAGTGAAATGAATGCAGGAAAATAGAAGAGAGAACAAGCCACCTAGCACCAAAAAGGGAAACCCATCTTATCTCTTCTTCATGCACCAGCTACAGGCATGAGTGGAAAGTGAAGCATTCTCATTTAAGCCAAACTACTCCCGAAGTTGACCATTCCCGAAAAAGGCACTAGCAGGACAGTAATAGCCTTCGTGAGGATTTGAAACGCAGTTCAGTAGCTTCTTTGATGGGCTGAAGGGCAGGGCGGAGAATGCTTACAAACTCCTACTTCCAACTATCCTGGGGTTGTGACGGAGGGAGAGTGGTTTGGAATCAGTGTGGTCTCCATGGGCTGTATTTCACTGAGCTGCCTTGGAGAAAAACTTAAAATCCAGGCATACCTATTGTGCCCAATAGAAACATGTGCAGCACATTTTGGTGGGTGTGTTGTAATTTAAGGCGATCAAAGATGTTTTTAGGTTCTTTGCATAGTAGAAACCATATGTTTTTAGTCCAGAAACAAAAGACATCCTTTGGTCCCATTTTCATAATTTTTTTTTAAAGTTACAAAACAGCAGAATTTAACTTTTTTTTCTTCCCCTTTTACTAGAGGACCAGAGCCAGCTATTAAAACTAGCTCTAATCCTTGCAGATTGCAGACCAAGCAACCCTGGTGACAATTGGGAAAATGCACCAGTGGAATTTCAGCAACTCCCCGCAATTTAGTGTATAATATTGTGGCCCTTTGAGTAGTCAGTCAGACATTAGCGCACCAAGGGACCATGGGCTCACTCAAGGGGACAAGATCCCCAAAGTAAGTTTTGTAGAGTTTAGAGTCTGGCTTTATCCCCACATCTCCCCATCTCCTCCTTCCTTGGAATAAAGGAAGTTTTATGGACTTTCTGATGTTTTCTGCTATGTAAAATATCTGGTACACCATCTTTGGCAAAGTCAAAGGAGGGGGAAATATGCGTTTCCAGAAGAAGGCAAACCACTGCACCCACAACTCTGCACATAGACTCACATCACTGCCGTACATCTACCATAGTCCTTCGAAACATGCTGAGACAGGGCAAAGCCCTCAAATAGTCCAGGGCACCACCAGCCACTGCATTGTGACACATGGTTTTTAAAGCATTATTTACACGCAATAGGGAACACTTCGGTCAAGCTTTGAAGCTCAGTTAGGGTCTCTTGTGCATTAAGGAATTAGCGACCACTTTTATGTGGAATCGTAGGGGTGGTGTTTCATTGGAACCTTAGAATCCATCCCAGGGAGACCTGACTCCACCCTTTCTTCACACATAGTTGATGAAGGGCGAAAATGAATCTGTTGGAATTCACCACGAAACGGAAGGAAATCTCTCGTGGGGGCCAGTTGCCACTGGAAAGGATATACAATCAAATCTTGACTAACTGGAATGCTTGCTAGTGAGTCATTTTGGTAAATTTTACGACTTTCTTAATGAACAATGGACTGAAGAAGAAATTTTGTTTCAAGGGCAATTTTGTTAGACCCCTGAGACAATTTTCTGCCTGGGCATCTTTGAGTAGTGGTCATAATCAAATTTTTCCAATGTTACTGTTGTGTTTGATGGCCTTTCATTTCATATTCTTCCTTTTTTTTTTTTAAATATGAAGACTATAAGAGAATGGAGACTTGAGACATTGCAAATTACATAGATTGTCTCAGGGTATTTTTAATTTGGGATATTATTATTATTATTATTTTGCTAAAAATAAAAGGGAAGAGGAAGTATATAGTTGAGAATTCCAGTTAGTTAGATTCCAGTTAATCAGACTTCACTGTAGATGATTCTTTCAAAAACATGCTTTTTATTTATTGGTAAATTGAGCCCCTCCCCCTCCTAAACAGGAAGTGGGATATTTTAAATCAGCCTCAAAGTTTAAAGGATGTGAATAGTCATATAATCTGCTAGAAACGACATCAATTTCTATTCTAAAAGCTAGGGCTAGGAGAGCTTTTAGGAGAAAAAGCTTCTTTTAAAAGGAAAAGAGGGAGGGGGTGAGGGAGATCAGGTAATGAGTTTAATTTTCCAAATGCATGTTGGACAATCCACTCATGCATTTTTTGCTTTCACTGCTAGTCAAATGAGACTATCTTCCAGAACCCTGGTTTCAGGTTCTTTCTGTTGCAAACCTTATAACCACATGTCACATTTCTGCTACATTCCAAAAAAGCGTTGCAGAACCTTAAGAACAGTTGAAAATTTTGTGATATTGTGCATGCAAAATCTACACATTTCAACATTTCAGCCAGTGTACGGGTTGCTCTTCCAAGGGGAAGAATTTGAGAGGGATGGTCCCAATCTGGGCAAGGATTGGGCACTTCACGCTGGACTGCTCACTGCCTCTACACAAGGTGGATCTCAGGACCAAATTTGGTAACAGGCGGGCAATGGAAAGGGAAAAATCTCTGACATAATCTAACTTGCAGAGTGCTTCCTTGGGCCAAATTACTTGCCTCTATTACTTTTGAAAAATCAAACATGTGTTTCTTATCTTCCAAACTTACCCATTCTCTATTCTAAATCCGCAATTTTGGTTCTTGGGGTTGGAGAAAACAAAGGTCATGGGGTGCCTGCGTCTCAAAGTACACTTTCTGGAAAATGTTGAAACGTTCATCAATAAAAGTTGCTGACAGTGAAGCTTTCACTGTAGTATGCCTGATTTTTAATGCATCAACAGTAACTCCCACTAATATCATCTATGCTATGAGATGAATGCATTGGAGACGGTATTGATCTGTTCTGCATGCCACATGCTCATCCTGCCTATGCGCCTGCAGGAATGAGCTTGTCAAGGCTTGGAGATGGGGCCTTGGAAAACCAAAGCTTCAGGCAGGCAGGCAGCACCTACTTGTTACAGGGACACACACAAAGCCCGCAGAATTTTCCTAGGTCCGTCAAATTCTTTTCTGCTTCTTTCATGTCCTTATTGATTTGGTCCATCCCTTCCTCAATGCGTTCCAGTTGTTCTGATTAAACACAAGTATTTTATCCCCACAGAATGAAGCAGATGGAAAAGGACAAAGAAAAAAAAGACAAAACTTCAGACATTCACTTTGACATTAAAAAAGAAAAAAAAAAAGAAAGAAAAAGAAAGAAAGAAAACTGGACGCCACAGATTAGAGCTGGTACCCAGTACCTACTTGTTACAAGGACATATGAAAAGGCCACAGCATTTCCCTAAATCTTTTAAATTTTTCTCAGCCTCCTTCATGTCTTGGTTGATATGGTTCATGCCTTCTTCGACACGATCGAGTTGTTCTGGTTAGGACAAAGGGATGACAGTGTGGAATGAATTTTTCTTGGGTTTCCAACAGAATATGAGAAATGACTACGTGAAAAAGGAATTTGAAAGAGAGAGATTACAATGCATTGTCCAAGAGGGTGCATTGCAGAGGGCTGCCGCTGCCCTAAGCGGGCAGACAGGAGGAAATGAACAAAAATGATGCTCAAACTAGTTTGTAGTTCAGACATGATGGGATGGGTCAGAAGGCCTGTTTGATTCTGAGTGTCCAGGGGGAAAGCACAATATATTCACTTACTCACACACCAGTGAAACTCCAAAGAAAGAAAAACAGGGTGTTAGTTTATATTTAAGCCATTCTTATTTAGTGCTACAAGAGGAAGTATCTGCTTCAACTTAAAATATCTGTATTGTTTTGTTTTTAAATATCCTTAACCAGATAAAGGTAGAAAATAGAATCCATGTTTCCCTTCTTCAGGAAAAACAGCAGCAGCAATAGCAATAATTAGCAATGGATATGGATCTTTTTTCTTCCTCTAAGCAGTGACTGTGTAGCCAAAAGTAGCCTATGGTCTGTTCTTGGTTTCCCCATATTTAATTCATAGAAGCTGTAAAAGAAAGTAATATCAACACAGCAATATTATCAATATTGGGGTATTTCAATTTGTCTTTCATCCTATGAGTCACTTGCCAAGAAAGCTTTGAAACTCATTTCATTTCTCTGGCTCCTGACTTTCCAGTGTCTATACTGGGGGCCCCCCAAAATCAACCCCAGGTAGACAGCAGGGAGAATAAATATCTCCTTGAAGAAGGGAGTCAGATTGGAACGTAGATGATTACTGTACCATTGCTGCAAGCAAAGCTGACCTTAGTGTATCTAAGACATAGATTGATAGACATAAAAATGAATCATATTTCTAGGTTGCCAGGGTTACATACATCAAGTTGATTAATTTTTCAAAAGTTGTGTCACCAAATTGAGGTAACTACAAGTTCAATGAAGGGATTTTTAAAATAGCTTTTAAAGCCATTAAAAGAGAGCAGCAAATGAGATGTCTTGGTTGTCTAATTACAAAACCTAATTACATTCCCATTCTTCTTTTCATCTATATTTTCATGCATGCATGCATTTGGATGCCTCCAGGAATACAGGCATGCTTAGAATAAAACTGATAAGTACATTTCCAGCCTAAGGGCATGAATAATCATGTAAAAACAATTTCACATTAAATTGTACAGTGGCAATTGTCATTTCAAAACCTAACTTGGATTCACTAGTGACCCAAACTATGAATTTGTAAAAAGCTTACTGTGTTCTGTTTTGTGGGGCTGAAGAACAAAATTCTGTTGATTAGGACTACTAACTCTGCTTTGCTTTTCAAAAGGACTGGCGAAAACAAAATCTTAGCATTTATCTAGCACTGGATATCTGGAGGAAATAAGACTACAGTGCTGAAGAGCTGGAAAACTTTTTGCTGATATCTTCATATACTTTATACTCTTGATATTCTAGGAGATTTTTTTCTTTTCTGAAGATTGCACTCCAGTTTCTTTCTAAGAATGCAATAGAGCTGGGCACAGTGGCACATGCCTGTAATCCCAGCAACTCGGGAGGCTGAAACAGGAGGATCGCAAGTTGGAGACAGGCCTCAGCAACATATTGAGACCCTATACAACTTAGCAAGACCCTGCCTCAAAATAAAAACAAGTGAAAAGGGTTCGAGATGTGGTTCAATGACTAAACACCCCTGGGTTCAATCCCTCATCCCTCCAAAAAACAAAACAACAACAAAAACATCCCAATAGATTAGATTGGGTCAAGTTAAATATTTGATTGAGGGGACTGGTGGTGGTGGGGGAAGGTTCAATGTGAAAGAGCTCAATGTCATCAGATGAGGATCATCATACCTATTGATAGAAATAGGGATGCTGAATTACAATCTAATAATTGCTAATGGTTTCCAGGTGTGCTGGGGTGTGATCGATGGCAGACTGAGGGAAAGCATGCTAGACTCAACCAGTGACAGCTGAAATCAGTGTAGGTTATGGCAGAGGGATGTACATTTAGGGGTTTGTCCTTCTTGAGGAGTTTCTCTTGAGTGAGAAAGCCAACTAACTTGTTTATTTGGCCAAATATCAACTCTCCCACAAGATTTCCAAAATGCCATCTGCTGTGCCTGCAGAAATTAGGAAATAGCATCTAGATATGTGAATTGGTCCATAAATGTTGAACTGAACTTGTACAAATGAATGAGCAAATCAAAATCCATATTTCAGAGAGTTGGGTTCTGCTATAAATTGCCAGGTTTGACTACAAAAAGAAAGGTTTGCAAAGGTTTGACTACAAAAAAGGAAATTCTGACAAAATTTTTCAGAATTTAATTGAGAAAACTGTTCAGAAAAGGGTTGATTCAGAAAAATATTTTATACCTGCCCATATTAGTTAAATGCATCTTTACATACAAATTATAAGTCAAACCTTTAATTTAAAAAATAGCATAAACTGTTTGTCACAGGTATTCTAATAATAATATTAATTTTTAGAGTCCAATGAGTTGTATTTCTGGGTACATTTGATATATTGGGGCTTCATAGCACTTGGATGATTTCTGTGAAGACATTTCTCAGGGAGTGGAGATGAAAACAACCAATGCCATTATGTCATTCTGGGGTGACAACAGCCTCTCTGATAATAGATATAATGAACCATCCAGGGTTGATTTCATCTTAGCTCTCTAAGCTTGCTTTCTGTCAATTTTATGTTGATTCTTAGAGACTGGGAGAACAACCTTTTAGGTTAAAAGAGGGCTTTCAAGACACAACATTCTATGTTGGCATAAAAGCTTGAACTTTCTTTTGCTTCGATATTTGAATGGTGATTTGTGATAGATCCACCAATGGTAGGATACTCTGGGTTCTAAGTTTACACATCCTTTCTACTGAGCTCATCTTAGTAAAACAACACAGGGCTCTTAGGATTCTCATTCTGTTTTTTAACACAAAACAAGACACAATAAAATAGCAAGACATTGATGCTTTGCTAGTGTGCAAGCCTTCATGAATACGTCCAATTTCAAGATGCTGCCTATGTGCTTTTCATTTTTGTTCACATTGATTAAAACAGAAAAATTCATGTAAATAAAGTTAAAGAGCCACATGCAATGAAAGGCTACTATATTGGCTAGCGCAGCCTTAGTCATTCCTAACTGATACTTGGTGAGTAAACATCAGCAAGAAGGATATTTTTTCTCAAATTCTGCTTTGTAGTGCCATGAACCTTTTAAGATTGTTGGCTGTGTCTCTGGATGGGGTTCTACTTTTTCTTCCCTCTGCCAGGAAGTGGTGGTCAGAAATTTCATTATTAGTTTGGAGTTCATCCCAGGATTGTTCTCAAAGAACTATAATAGCTATCAGAACAAACATATAATCCAGCAAAAACCAACAATAGAAACAGAGGTGAAAGGTTAGATCATCTTATGTTAGTGCCATGGTTGTTTTAGGGGGTTTCCCTTGGACACAAGTTTTGTAGGGAAAGAATAGTTCCAGGGCTTGGTATATTTCTTGTGATGTCTGTCATGCTCAGTGCTCCTTGGTGTGTCCTGATACCTGGGTAAAAAACAAAAACCCTATAAGTAATTTAACTGTTCAGCTAGATAACCTGCAATGGTCTGGCCTGACCTGACAGTGGGTGTATAATGTTTCTTTAGAAGGATGACTGTTTCTTGAGGCTCCTGAGCAGCTGCAAGGTAGAAAAAGTCAACATTTTTGGTGTTCAGGCATGGACAGAATTAGTAGAGCATAACTGAAGAGAAATTGCAAAGCAGTTACTGATTTAAAACAACTAAACATAGCACATGCAGAATTAAAATGCATTTATGACCGTAGTGAACACAGTTGTGCTTAGTTGTCATATTAAAAGGCCCTAAGTTCCTATGATAGTATAAATGGAATGTGTCCCACTTAACACTAGGCACAGATCATCCATTTTTGGTGGTCTTACAGTTGCAGGTTTCTCATCAGAATCGGTTTATTCACTACACATCTGGCAAAACTCAGGCTTATCCTAGGAAATACAGTGAACAGAAGAATTCGGCATTTACTCAGGAATGGTCACAAATGAAATGTTTTAGCTGAGAACACTCACTATCTCATGAAGAAACCTGTCAAACAAATATTCTATTCTGCTTCGCTTCTCAGATAAAGTATGCAAATGCATCTGGGAATCATCTGTGCTTAATACTCCAAGTTCATTTATAGTATTTTCCGCATCTTTATGTTAGTGTATATAGTTAAGGGGAAAAGGCATTATCCTGAATCTTTTGCCAACTTTCCCTCTGCTGTAAGTCTCCTTTTTCCATCCCTTCACATTCTGAATTACTAATTGAAAGAGCCAACAAGGTGGAATTGCTAATTATTCAAGTGTATTTGTTTCAATTTTGCTTTGGAAATAAGGTACCACTCTTCTATATGGGCACCTGCTGTTTAAATTTTCCTTTATTAAAAAATCAACGATTTACTGCCTTCTGAGTTTCAAAGCTGGGACACTGTTGCACAGATCAAGCCAACAAGTCTTATAATTATAGAAAATCTATCTGGGGAGCTCTGTAGACTGGCACTGTTATTGTAGTGCCTTCAAAATAGAACTCCACTAGACCCTGTTATTGGCATATGCATTTGGACAATTTATATTTTTAAAATTGGACGGAAAGCATTGGGGTTGATGTTCAATTGGTTTTACAGAAGTATTTCTCTTGTAATTGTTTGATATATATATTTTTGAAAAGGTTTAATGCAAAATAATGTAACAACAAAAGTGATTTTATGACAGCCATGGGGATGTGCCCTCAAGGCTCCTTTTAGAAGACTCTCCTGTGAGAAGTAGAGTTAGCTGTGCACTTGGGAACTGCTACAGCATTTATGTTGAGGTCATGTGCTCCCTGGGATGCTTCAAGCCAGTGACTGAGTACAATTGGGACTACCAGATCTGAAACATATATGACCAAAAATAGGGCTGTTCCAATGGGTGATTTCTGTTCGTGGACTTCCCATCAGCCTGGCTGAGACTTTTTCCAAGCAGTATTACAATTTGAGGCTCTCCCTACCCAATTCTCCTTCCTTCTGCTGATATAGGTATTGGATCCATAAAATCCTTAAAAGTCTAAACGTTCCACTTACCTATCTCTGCTCCCTTTCCCTTTGACCCATCACAGACATGTCCCCCCCAAATCTCTTATACTTTGTATTGTTCCTTAGCATTTGCTTCTTAGAGGACTCTAAATAACTTATCTTCCTGTCTCCACCCCAACTTCCCAGATGTCAGTAAAGATTTACTTTATTTATGGTATTGATTGCACAACATTTATTTCATGGCCATACCATAATTAGTTTAGTTCATCTCCCTGCTTTCAGATAGGTTGTTTCTAGCCTTACATGCCTACAAGTAAGCCATGTACATTTTTCTTTGAGTAACTGTAAATGCGTGTCTCCACTGTCAAATTCTAGAAGTAGAATGTCTTGATCAAAATCAAGACATTTTAAATTTTAAGGTATCATAAATTACTCTTCAAGAAATTTATAACCTTCTACAGCATCCATCTATAGAATAAGCGTTTTTGTTTTCCCAGCATATTCATCACATTGGTTAACATCAATTTTCAAAATTTAAGTCAGTCTACTAGATAAAGGATAGTATCTCACTACCATTGACGGTTGAGACCCAGTTTCGTATGTCTATTTGTAAACTGATGATTCCTATCTTATGTCTATTTTTTTTTTCTTTTGATTGCTCTTTTCTTTAAAGTTCTGTAAGGGCTTTCTATATTTTGGGAAAACATTTTTAGGCCTGATACCTATAGGGCAATTGTCCAAATTTGAAATTTATGCTTGGAGTTTATTGGGACCTCTGCTGTGAATAAGTTTTAATATTGATATTTGCCACCAAACAAGACCACAAATATTATGGCCTTACCATTTTAGGTGCCACTATAGAATATGGAGATGCCATACTAAAATGCCAGCTTCCTGATTTTCACTGCTTTTAGCATTTCCATCATGAGTTTTAAAACAGGCCAAAAGTTCAAAGAGAAGAGCCTCTAATCTCTGTTCTCCAATATGTGTACAATATGACTTCCATGTACATGTAAAAATGATTGCACCCTAACCAAATTTCCTCAGATAGTGTATTGTTTGTTTAAAATAATCACAGTTTGGTTCATTGTTGTTGTATTCTTTCCATTTTATTTACAACACTACTTTTTATCCTTTTAGCAAATTCTAAAGTGTAGTGATCTTTAAAAAAAATCACTAAATAACTAGGAAATATTTGTGTTGTTGTTTTGTTTTAAACAGTACAAGGTGATGGAACATTTTGCTCCTCTTACCACAGACATGAAATGTCAGCCATTGTATGGCTAGGAACCAATGCCTTTGGCTGTTAATAGATCTGCTATTGCTGAGGTATGAGTGTGAACTTGATGTGGTGATGACAAATCATTGTGTAGAAGTAATGTTTTCAAATGTGCAACTCTAGTTTTCTTAAAGTGAGATTTGGTTCCTTACAGTAATTATTTAGTTTTTGTTTCTATTTAGTATTTAATGGTCTTTGGAGGAAAAAAATAAAAGAGTGATACATATACACACACACATATATGCAAGATAAGATTTTCCATATTTTGAAATAAGTCTATAGCATAAAGGTTAAACTTTTAAGATAAAATAAAATAGAATGTACTTAAATAATGATAAGAAAACAGGCCAAATATTTCAATTGATTTAATTTTCTATTTTCCAGATCATTTCCCTTTGCTTATATCCTGTTAAAAATACCTTCTAGTTATTTAAGGAATCTCCATAGTGACCTGAAAATCAAAACTGCCAGATAATAAATTAGGATGGCTAAAAGAAGTGGACAATGTGATTTATAACATTCTCATCCTATCAAGGTGTGAAGGGACCCAAATTTGTACAAAAGTTTGGGGGTAAGGAGAATAAAAAAAAATCATACACTGTTTAAAATCCTATTCTTTAAAAAATACAAACACATGGCTTTCCCATCAGGATTCTGTTACTCCAAGAGATATAACAAATAGTATCATTCATTCAGTCATGAGAAAGATGTCAGCATTTCTACATGTTTATCAGTCTTTTCAACAGAGAAGAAAAATCAGCAAGATGAAAATTCTAGAACCCTCAAACTCACATATGTGTGTAACACATGCTCAAATGGCCTCCTGTGGATGCACAAAGAATTTAAAAAAAAACCACTTTATTTAAATTTCTTACTGAAGAAATCTGAACTTACCTCCTTGTTCATCCAACATAACCAAAGTCCTGATACCAGCATCTTTACTCTACATTCCAATAATGGTAGCAAAGTTGAAAAGGAGTTAGAGGGAGAAAAGAGAGAAAGAGACATCAGTAAGGGGACAATTAGCCCTAGAAATGGGAAATGAAGAAGGACCAAAGAAAAAAGGGAGGAAATATGGTGAGAACATTAGGGGTTGGGGAGGGACTCATAGGAATGAGTACCCTGTGGACTCACTCTATCAGTGATCTTAGGGGCCGAAGGAAGGGGTGAGGTAAAATCACCACAAGTAGAGCCTGGGAGGGAGCTTCCAAAACATGAAGTGTGTATTGGCATACACACACTTAAAATTATAATGTAATTTTATGCCTTAAAAATAAAAACACCTAGGATTTTCATAACGCCAACCACAGAAAGCAAATCTTTCAAAATCCTCTAGACTGAATTTTCTCTTCTGGCCATGGGGAAGGTGCATAAGCATCTTGAGGGTGAGATGTATAGGTTTATTAGAGGAGAGCATGGCCTCACAGAAGTTGAGAAACACAGCCAGAAAGAAACTAATTTGCCTATTTTCTTTCTCTGGAGAGAAGTTCTATAAGATTTAGAAGAGGGAACAAAATCAGAAATAAGGGCTTTTTATTCTAAAAATCTAAAAGTCTATACAATGATATTGTGTGGGAAAAAAAAAAAAACAACAACAAAAATCTCCTGTCCAAGCTTACTGCAGTTCCTTTGTTAAGAAGAAGTCTTTAAAAGTCACTTCTCCTCTCATTCCTTATTATCCAAATAAACCAACACCACCTGCATTATTGGGACAGGGGGAGTGGGAGTTAGGGAGCAAGGGAGAAGGAACAAAGATACATGTATTGCTCATACTTAGGGATCACAGGTTCTAGGAATTCTATCCAGTTAAATAAAGACTTTCCATTTCACAGGGTGACTTTTAATGAATATAAAATGGCATTGCCTACAGTTTAGATTAATTAGTTTTTCAAGGAAAGCTCATGGAAACCCACAGAATAAATTGACTTACTTAAGAACTAAGAAAGAAAGGGAGATGTTAGTGGGGGCTGACAATTAAATTCCAGTCGTGCTTCTCAAAAGTCAAACAAAACACTGGAAATAATCACTGTGAGCCATTATAAACTCATCATTTTAGAGTAATCATGCAGTTAACGCCCTAGGTCACAAAAACCTATGTTGTTTTTGAGCACATTTTGACAGGCTTTCGTGGCCAAGTCAGAGTGTGGTAGAGAGAATGATGGCCCAGGGTGACATCAGGAGAGTCACTGAGAGCACAGATTCTAGAGCAGATTCAGGGCTGGAATCCTGGTGATTTCATTTCCTAGCTGCAGGACTTTGGAAGAGTGTCCTAACTACAAGGTGCCTCAGTTCTCTCATTTGTGACACAGCAATAATGAGTTTATACCTCATTGAGTTTCTTACGTGAATTCAATAAATGAATAAGTGGAATGTGCTAGAATGGAGCTTGGTGTATAGTTAGCATGACATGAAGTCTTTTTAAGATAAATGCATTTAAAAAATGCATCTATAGAAGAATATCTAGGCCAACTAAATATATCATCATTACCTTCCACCATCAGAAGTTTCTAGATCACTACTTCTCAAATTTGAATGTGCACATGGATTACCTGTACATGAATAGTCTTGTTAAAATTCAGATTCAGATTCAGTAGCACTGGGATAGAGCCTGACATTCTGCATTTCTAACAAGCTCTCTGATGCATGCTGATGGTGCACGGACACATACTGAGCAGCAAGATTCCAGAACATGAAAGACATTTCAGTCTTTTCCTTAAATGTGTTATAAATGAACTTCTGTCTATAACAGCCTGAATTGTAATGACTTCTTTGCCCTTTTTCAGCATATTTTAGCCACTGCTTATGAGACTAAATTACAAAAAGCAGATGGCATATAGATGTGACAGTGGAGGTTCTGTTGAGGACAGAGGCAACTCAGAGAACAGTTTCTCCTTGAGGACACAATCAAGGCTTGCCTGAGGACTCTGCTCCATTCTACTGGTGACCATTGGTGGGAAAAAGGTTAGTGGTCAGATCAACTCTCATCTATTTATACATTTTGATAGTCTGTTAGACCCATTTATTTTATATGAATCCCTGCAAGTATAATTTCACATATGTTCAATTTGGTGCTAAGTGTTTCTGCACTAGAATGACTCATAAAACTAAAAAATGTGAGAGTGTTGGAAGTTGCTCTGATCTGGCAGTACAGGAGCAGAGAGCACTTATCTGAGGTAAGGAAAGCTGGGGTATGCTCTTAGCTCAGCCAGAAGCAGCTGTGAGACTAGAAGAGTCATGCGACCTGTCAGGTATTTTTCCCTACTGAAGATCAGGGTGAGATGCAGTCAGATGGTGTGGATGGTTGGCTGGTTCATTCGCTTCCTTGCTTACTCATTCCTCCATTTGCTTATTTACTTGTTTGTGGTACTGGGGTTTGAACCCAGGGGTTTTTGACCAATGAGCTATACCCCCAGTCCTTTTCCTTTTTTATTTATTTAGCAAGACAGGGTGACAATGTCTTGCTCGGTTGCTCAGGCTGAACTTGAACCAGCAATCCTCTGCCTCAGCCTCTCAAGTAGCTTGGATTAGAGGTGTGCATCATTGCACTTAGCCTCCTCCATTCATTTAGTGTTTAACGCATTCACTATTTTGTTTATTTACTCATTTGTTCCTCTGTTCCATAATTGTTTATTTGACCTCTACTCTACCCAGGCACTAAAGGCAGGGGGAAGACAAATACATGGCTTCTCCATCTCAGCTGGTCCCTATGCAGAAATGGAATCAATCTGGGAGTCAGAAATTCTAAATTCTAGACCTGTCTTTGCAGTCCTGTGGCTTTCAACCCAACTGTTCTGTGTCCCAGCTTCCCCAGCAGTTAAATGGGACAGTAAAAGCTCCCTTACTTCCCACAGTCTTTATGAAGATAAAATGAACTACAGAAGGCTAAAAGTTAGTTCAACTCAATGGGAGGCTGTGCTAACTTCAGGAAGAAATACATTAAAATGCAGGATTTAATTTGAGTGGAATCTCAATCCATTAAGAACAAGTTGCTTCGTTTTTTTAGATACTTCTTCCCCCCCCAGCGTTAAACTCTCAAATAAAATAAATAAATAAATATAGTAGGAGGTGCTGGTGGAAGGTAAATTAACTGCTCTGGAATCATGTAGTCCTGGGTTTTAATTTCATCTCTGCCATTTATAACTGTGCATCTTGAGCAAATTATTTAACCCTGTGGCCCTCACATTTCTTCATGGTAAAATGGAGATGAAGTAGTAGTAAAATGTGGCTACAAAGATGGAATTAGATCAGCTATGATAGTGATGATGGCTTTAAGATCAGGCAGGACCTGACATGTGGTAGGTTCTTAGTAAATGTTAGAATTTACATTTGTTTCCATTGTTTTACTGATAACTTCAATCAAAATAACTGGGTGTTCTTTGGGGAAAACCAAAAACTTAGAGGTTGAGGCATGGATGAGGGTAATACTTCAGGAAGACAGAATATTACTTTCTCCTATTCCTGAAAGAATACTTTGTTTTAATAGCTAGGAGTGAGAAGAGGTGGTTCTATTTTTACCTTAGCTCAAGTCTTGGTTTCCAAGATTGCTTGGAAAATAGCCTATGTAAAAATGGGAGAAGTCGGAGATAGGAGGGATTTTCTTCTTTATATTTCTTTCTTTTTAAAAAAGATTATTTCTATATTTTTATTGTGCTGTTTATATTATTTATTTATTTTTACACATGAACTAAGACAATGTTTATAGAACATTTTCAATTTTTCCTTTTGTCATTTTGAAATGCTATCCCCAAAGCCCAATACATTTGACCTAAAAGCTAAGACACTAAAGGAAGTCTCTGGAGTCCCAAAAGATCCCACATCTACATATCTGAAAACAACTGCCCAACCTGAATGTTTTCTAGCACAGGGTCTGTCATAACACAAGCACAGCTTTTAGAATGTTTATTCCCTTCCCATGGCCAGAGTGTTCTGAAAGATCAGTTGGAATAAAAAGAAAAGATGCTAAAACATTCATGACAGGCTAGTGGTTCAATAATTACTCCATGAAAGCTGTGTAGTGCTTTCCAATCTGCTTGCCCTAAAGCAGGGTGGCTTTTCCTGGGCCTAGTCTTCATAACTCAAGGCATTAATGTGTAGCCTTCATTTCCTGCACTTAGCATTAGCAGAATTAACTTTTTTTTTTTTTTTTTTTTTTTTTGCCCAGAATCAAATGTCTCTCCTTGAGAATACCTTCATGATTCTCCTACTAGAATCAAATATTCCCTCTTCTGTGCTTTCTAGGTAGGTACGACCTTGCATTTGGAGAATTATTTGCCTCTCTGTTTCCCTGAAAGACATCAATATATATCTTCTCTCCTATCAGCAGAGTGAGGCGTTCAGTAAATATTCATTGAAATGTGTCCACCAAATGCAAGTTCCCAAGTCTAGGCTGGAAAGCAAGTGCTACAGGATTTTAACCTTTTTGCCTGTCTACAGTATTCAGTTTTTCTGAACTTCTCCAGGGATCTCTGGGTAACTTTATATTGTCCTTGAAATGCTCATGGCTTCTATTAAAAAGTGCCTCCCCACCCAGCCACGATGTTATACCCTGGAGTCTATTAGGGATGGTGCAAAGTTGTATATTCCACTGAAAGTGGAATTGTTTGCCCTAGGGAGGCTTCACAATTTTAGTAACCTTTGAGACTGAATTTCAATAAGGATTCAGTTCAATTCAAATTATACAGCACTGATGAACTTTGGGATCATGGGCAAGATCCTGGTATTTCAAAGCTCAGATTTTCCAAATGATTTCTGTCCTTGATGAATATTTAATGCTGATTCTCTTTAAAGAGAATTTCCTTTTTGATTGAAAAGCAGAATATCATCTGAATAGCCAATGCCCTAGATACGAGGGGGTTTTGACCATAAATATAAAATAACCCAGGAGGAAGTAAGAAAAAATCAATTCTAATAATGTCTTGCTCACAATTTCCTAAGGATGGAAAGTCTAATAGCCTCCTCTTATTTATTAGAGGTAGGAGATTGCTTCCATCTGTTTTGTTTCTTGTTCTAAGATGCAACTTCATGCTTGATCGAGAAACACTTTGGGAGAAACAAAAACACATAATTTGAGAAGCCTACTTCCATCAATAGAGCTTTGGAAAATTTTTTGTTTCTTAGAATAATTTAGAGCAGACACTGATTTTTCGAGACTGGCTGACACAGTTTGCAATTTAAGAAGACATGAGAAAGAAAGTGTTCATGTCCCAAAGATTCTGAAGGGTGAGGGGTTAGTCAAGTTGGTGGCACTTGGTCCACCACTCTCCACAGTCTGGGCAGGATTCCAACATTGCACAAGCAGGCAAATTGGTGACAGTCCTGGTATTTAGAAATGTACATTACCTGCGCATATGCATAAACAAAAATGAGAAATAAAACTGGAGGATGTGGTCCCAGGTCATAAAGTATATTATAATGATAGTTTAATAGTATACAATAAAATAATTACATCAGTGGACTTCAGGGCACTCTTCAGGTTCATGTCAGAGCCCATATAGAAATTTCATTAATGTGTCCTCCTTTCATTCTTTGCTCATGAGAAGCTGGGGGAGAATAAAGCCACATTGAGAGACTTGCCAGCACTCTTAGATTTAGAATATCTGTCTCCTTCTTGCTCCTCAAGTGTTTCTGCATGAACAATGTTCCCAGAACACAGTAAATAAACATTTCTCATTTAGAGATGGAAGGCTGCTTTCCCTTGCTGGGCTGGGAGGGGGCAATTTGTGCTACGTAGCAGGCTCAAAGACTTATTTCTGAAATACCAGATTTTTTTTTTAATTTTAGGGAGCTCATTATTGCCACCTTCTCCCCATTCCTTCTGTGGCAATTCACATCTAGCCATGTTTCTTTCCTAGGTGAGAAGCTGAAGCTGCAGAAATAAGGAAGGACGTCAACACTGTAGCATGAGTGGCCTTTCCTTTTAGCCTTTGTAAAATTTATCGTTTTTCCTTTCATGTCATTGCATATGCAATTGACAGTAGCATGAGGTGGGTAGGCTCATTTAATCATTCTGCTACAGAAAGCCCAAGATCTTTAAAAACGATAATCACACATGAATTTATACATTGATAAGCAGCTGCATTCAAAGCACAGCTGAAACAGCATCTCGCTGAATAAAAACTATTAGGCTTGTTTTATTAGGTTAAGATAAATATAGTCCGACTCATTCTTTTCCCGCTTCATCTCTCCCAATGGGCAAGTTCAATTAATCCATTTATTCTTCCTGGTTGACTGCTGCTCTACCAAATTGGAATGAGTGAGGTTTATTGCAAATGCCCTTTTGATTCCATTATTGCTATCTGCCCTATTTTACCCATTTAAAAATAGTTTGGGATTCATTAACCATGCCTTGCAAATGGATGTGCAATCCAGAGTCAGGAATATAAAAGAGCTTTTATATTTATATTATTGGCCTTGATTTTCTCTTTGTTTAAGATTTTTCCTATTTTTCATAGATTGTTAGTGCCTGACTCTAAATATAGCAGTTTCTGAAAATGATATACTTATATAGTTACCTAGTTTAAAAGTCATAAATATTGCTGAAGTCAGAACAGAATTTCAAGATTAGTTGTAATATACAGGCATCAAAATTGTTACAAATGAAGATTTTTATGTAGATCATTCCTTTATATAGTAAAATTTGCTCTGCTTAATGCGACTTCAATCTTTTCTGATTTCTTGGGAGCACTGGCTTAGAAATACTATACTTTTCTGTATCCCAAACTATAAAGGTGGGCTGGGGTGGGAGGCAGGGTGAATTCACCTAGACGGCTATTTGGCAAGTTGAATATGGCATCTCTTTCATTTTGTGACTTTCTGGTAGGCTCTATTAACCCTGAAATTAATAAGATCGTGGCCAAGGGAATGTAGTAGGGGCTAGGAAAAGAACATGTCTACCTAAGGGATTAGTTTCTTTATTTTAAGATATAGTCACTCCTTACCTCTTCGACCAGTTGCAGCATACGACGGGTGCTTTCCAGCGACTATGATAAAAAAAAAAAAAATACTATAAGTGCAGGAACCAGAGATCTTGAAAAGCCAGAAATACTTTCTTCACTAGAGAAATACAAAAGGGTCCCTGTCACATATTATTTTATATTTGCAACCGAAATACAAAAAATGTCTTTCCATTTTCAATCTCTTTCCTATCGGGTTTTCTACATGATCGGATTCCCTAAAGCAATTACATGAAAGCTTAATCTTCATAAAATCAAAGCCATATGAAGCCGATCTTGATATCAAAGACAAAGTAATCTGGAAGAGATAATTTTGCATGCTCAGGATGCATGAAAAATTATCTCAAATACTCAGAGGACTAATCTGGCCTCCCTCGGCTAAAAATATTGAATTTTAAACACAAACATAATTTTTCATGAATTGAGATGAATATAGCATCAAGTTTCTTAGAAAGCTCCTAGAAACACAATTGGAAGTTGTTATCAATACAAATTAAACTGTCGCCTTAGGGTGGAAAAAAAAATCAAACATGTTTGAAATAAGTAGCCTATAGGAGACAGCTATAATAATTATCTTCATTCTTAGATAAGAAAAAATTCAATGGAAAGTCTGAGCTCAGTGCTTGTCCCTCAGGCACAGTACTGTCACTTTTTTCCTAGTTCCTCAACAATACTAAAATCCAAGAACCAGTGTGATTTCTCAAAGCTATGCTTTCACATGACAAACTTATTTTGGACAAGATTCTGCAGGAACTTGAAGGATGTTAACTTTCTTAGAAAAGACTTAAGTAGGTTGCTCTTTGAAGTAGTACCTCTCTGGACAAAATATATAAATATGTATGCATGTATTAAAATTTATTATTTTGCTAACATAAAGGATGAGTAGCACAGAATTTGCAAACAAGGAAATATGCAACACTATTGTAAATTTCTATTTTTGCATAGTTTTGTTGGTGCATTGTAGTTTTACATAATGGTGTGATTCAATGTTATATATTCATATGTGCACACAATATAACAATATAATTTGGCCATATTATAAATTTCATATAGACAAATTGATCCCCTCTGAAAACTTTGTTGGTTTTGGAACTCTTGTAACCATAGCTAAAGATGCCATGAACTAGTGTGGTCCTGATATGAATGTTGGTGGATGTAAGAGGAAAATGAAACGAGAACATATATTGGAACTTGGCTCATTGGTCAATAAAGAAAGTAATGTCTTTGCTGAAGAGAATCATAGTTTTCAAATACTGAATGATTTTCCTCATTTTTTAATAAACACACTTTTAAGTTTCATCTGAATTATTAACATTTTCTCTATTGTCTTAATTCTAGGTAATTAACAAAACAATAAACAAGTGTGATTTTTAATGTTTGCAGATTTTGTGGTGTAATTATTCTTGCCCTGTCTTATTTCTAACTACAATGTGATGTTACTGAACACAGAGGTGGGGGGATTTGTAGTAACACATGGTATCCCATCCCACGATACAATAGATGTCAATAACTCAAGAGCATGGATAACAGTAAAATGTGGTAAAATAATTAGGAAGTGATGAGTTTTGAGTATTTATTACCTTTAATTTTAACATCATCTTTCTAATTATTAGATTATATGATTCAATATAATACCTTTGTGTTGAGCAATCAGCAGGAAAAGTTCCTAACAACCAGCTCTCAGAATTGAGCTAGGTCCAGCACACCAGTGCTTGCAAGACACCCATAGGCAACACTTTTCTTAGAGGACTTTGACTTCTTAATATTTCTAGAAATTGAGAATTAGGATCTAGACATCAATGAGTACATAAGTTTTATAATAAACCCAGTCTAGTCTGCAAAAGCCTTGGGTATGTCATTATTTTTTAAAAGTTAGAAATTAGAGGAAAGTTTTTCCCAGAACCGGAATTCCCCTTCCTTTGCTCATCCTCCCAGGTCTCTGTTTCTCACCTCATCAGCCAACTGGTCAGCCCTCCGCTGCATCTCCTCCAGCTCATTGCGCATGTCCGCGTCTTCAGCCATGGTAGCGGTGGGGGGTGGCTGAGTGCCTGGGTTGGGCGGTCAGTGATGCGTTTGGCTGCAGAACCTGGGAAAAAGCAGATTTGAAAACATGAGAGCTTGTAGAAGTATGTGCAGTGTGGGCAAAGATCTAAGTGGCCCACATTCTTAGATGATTGGCCCCATAGCTCAATCCAAGACCGAAAGCACATCACACTCTTTGGGGATCAACACAATTATGCCGTTTCTCCAAAAGGTGCCATAAATGCATGTTTGTCTACTCTACCATGGTGCTATATGGCTACCATGGTGTTAAATGTGTCTTTAAAGATACGTCACACTTTTAAAAATTTTATCTGAACAGATTTATTGATGTATAATTGGCACACAGCAAATCTCACATATTCTGAAATGCACAATTTGAGAAGTTTTGGCATCAATATAAACCCAGGCAATTATGACCACATCAAGAAAATGAACATATCTATCACTCCCAGTTTTCCTTATACTCATTGTAATACTATCCATCCACTGCTCCCTACCCCATCCCACCCCTGTGCCCACAAATCTGCCATTCTACTTCCTGTCACTATAGTTTGTACTTCCTAGAATTTCATATAGAATAAGTCATAGGATATGTTATATAATTATAGTATATGCTATTATAATTATTTTGAGATTCATCCCCATTATAGCATGTATTAATAATTATTGATTTTAATGTTGAATAGTATTCCTTTGCATTTAGAGGCATTTAGAAGAAAAAGATTTTTTTTTTAATTTTGTCTCTTTCAATTGTTATCAGAAGTTGTCAGGAGGGTTTGTGTGTGTGGGTGAGACATTATCATTCCAAAGGGGAATGGATCTTAGGCCCTAAAATATGACCAGCTCATTTCTTGGCTACTCTTGAAATTCCATATGGTTGCAAATTATAGGCAGCAGGATTGAGATCCCTCTAAGAGCAAACTTCTCTCCTTCTATTGTTTCCTTCTCCTAACCTCTCTTCCTTCTCAAGTATTTGTTGAGTCCCCATAATACAGCAAGACAGTATTAGGCACTAGGAATATGGTGATGAACAAAAGACAGGCAGATTCACTATCTTCATGGAACTAGAGTCTAACTGGGAAAAATAGAAGTGAAAGAAGGAAATCAGATAATTCAGTGTGATAGTAATGGCACTAGGGGACATATCTGGTTCCTTGGGTGGCCCCTGGAGGCACAACAGGCCTGCCTAAAGAAGTCATGTGCCCAGATATTGCCATCAGAGGAATCGGGATAAAAGCACCCAAGGAAGTCTGGTGTGATAAAAACTTCTCTGAGCAGCACAGTTGTAGAAGGCATGGGCTCTTCTCTTCTCATCTGAGACAGTCAACTGTGCATTGGAATTTGTCCTTCCTCTTGCATGGCAGAACAAAGCCTTGGGGAAATGGTTGTCTACAGGAATTACACTTCCAGTCCTCATTGCGAAGAGGTGGTGCCATGTGGTTAGAGATGGTGCATGGATTGTAGTGGAAATAAAGCATGTCCCTGTCAGGCTGGAGCAGTTCAGATGCCAGTATTCCACTCCCTATCTCTTCTGACAGAAAAAATAGGGTCCCAGAGAACAGCTGAGCACGAGGCTGTGGGAACTTGGGTCTTCCAAATTCCTTTAGGGGGTGAAGTTGACTGCTGACCATAATACCTGAGCTCTTACATAGGTGAATGAGACACTCCTCTTGTGCTGCACCACTGGACATGTGAGCACATTATTTTGTTTTGTTATAGCAGCTGGTGTTATACTAATGAAGGCTTGAAGAAGCTTACCATGGATTAGGAGTATTGCATATGAGCATGACTACCTAATTGAAAAATAGATTTGTGTATTTTATATTAGTATTTATAGTAGATTATGAACCAGAGCTTAGTGGAGTGAATAAAAGCTCTGTCATCCGAAGGACAGAGTTGGACCTTTAGTTCTGGCACTCAGAAGATGGGTGACTCTAGGCAAGTTCATCACCCTCTCTGATGTCCCACTTAAAACCAAAGCTGGGAGAAAATTTTAGATTTAGGGCTTTGGGGCATTACCATTCTATTATTATTTGTGTGAAAATAACTTTTTGCAAAAATAAAATAAAAACTCTTTGTCAGAATATCAGAAACACACCCATTGAGAGGCAAGGAAACCAAAAAATTGAGATGAATCTGGAGGAGGGGGCTTAGCAATCCTTTCTCCATCTTCCCTATTCTACTGTTTTCTTGACTTCTAAGACTGAATTCCTCTGGGATTTTCATTTAGTACATTGTATTGTAATCTTTTCACACTTTCACTCTTGTGAAGCAGGTCTTACTACTTAGTGTTGTTAGACTGGAGGAATCCCAAAGTGAAACTTTGGAGATAATAGATTTCACAGTTCGTTTCTATCCTGTGATTCTTGGATAAAATGTCAAATGCAAAATCATGCCAAAAGGAGAAAAGAATTTTCAGGGATGCATTCTATTATTGGCATTAAAAACAAGTTAGCAAGATCATGTTAGTTTTATGGAGAGTCCGTTAAAAAATTGATGGGGCATCATACCATAAGCCTGCTAATTTTCAAATACCTCTCCTGGTCACTGGAATGCATGCTCATGATATGATGTCAAGCTGTAAAGTTTTCCTTAAATGCGGGGCTCTAAAATTAGGAATCTAAGAAACAGAAATGGGAAAGAATTTATACCAAGTCATTCCTGAACCTTAAGATGAGCAGAAGTAAAACTTCAGTGTTTCCGAATGTTGGAAGATCTAGCCTCCAGAATAAAATGGTGGGTAGATGATGAACCAGAGCTTAGTGGAGTGAATAAAGGCTTTATCATCTGAAGGACAGAGTTGGACCTTTAGTTCTGGCACTCAGAAGATGGGTGACTCTAGGCAAGTTCATCACTCTCTCTGAGTCTTTAGTTTTCTCAACAGGGCAAATAATCCCAATCTCATAGGCTTGTTGAAGGGAATAAATTATACAAAGTTCTGATCAACTTTGTAAGGATGTGGGGGTTTAATATTCAGAAAACCTTGCTCATTCAAAATAATGCTATGCCCTTTGCTAAGAGTGGAACAAATCCAGTCTCTGTTAATTAGCTTTCCTTTCCTAATGGCTGGGCAGGAGGCATGTTGCTGTGGTGCTGAGCACCCTGGAAGCCTGAAACCAGGGAAACCACCAGAGTGCTGCATCTCTAGTCTCTAAGCAGTACCTCTCAAAGGATCACCACAGGGAGACAAACAAGAGCGCCTTCGGGCCCTGTTCTCCATCCTTATGATTTGCTGCTCGGTGTCTTGGAGGAACATCCTCCTTCAGCCTAGACAAGCACCTGACCTTTTATTTTAATAGGCCAGTTTATTAGAAAGGGTTCATGTGCTTTTACACCTGTAGTACTACTGCCATCACCCACTCTTCTGGGTTTATTTGCTATGGATATTTGTGCATTCTGTTCTCTCTGCTTCTCTCTCTTACACACACGCTCACACTCTCTCTCTCTCTCTCTCTCTCTCTCTCTCTCTCTCTCTCTCTCAAGTCTCCTGTTTCCTTGGCACTCTCCTCTTAAAGTTGCTATTCTTGGCATAAGAAGAACAGCTGTTGGGCCCCCTGGATCCATGGTAATGGCAACCTGTCTGGGTCTGGCTGATAGGCAGGTGGCATGCTGGCAGAGAAGCCAGGTGGTGTATAACTTACACACACGTGTTTGCTTCATTTCCGTGTCTTTCCCCTAACCCTCCACCCACAGGAACTCCCACACCTTTGTCTCCCTCTAAAATACAAGATTGTATCTGTGATTTGTGAATCCAAAAGATCTCAACATAAGGTATTTCAAAGCTAGGAAAGCGATGTCTGCCCTCCTAATATGACGGGTCTGAGAGTGGGCACTGAGCACACCTCCAGATCATCTGTTGGGCTATTTATGGCTGGTGCTTGAAAAGCTGTCCCCATAAACCCCAAACCCAAAGCTAACATGAGTGTTAGCTTTCTGAGATGCAGGCATAATGGTTCCGATTAACATCACTTCAGCAGCTGAAATAATGTTAATAATGAAAGGACATTTAATATCAGGATGGCAGGGGGCACTCCGCTCCTATTACCACATTAAACCACCATCCCATGTGTGGCCTGAGCTGGTGGTATGGTCCCAACCAGCAAAACCTGCTTGGTAAGCGAGGAAGCCAGGAAACAGAGCCACTGGAAACAATTCCCTGGAGCTCTGATGTAAGATAATGTCCCAGTCCATTAAAAGCCCAATCTCATTGATTATCTCAAATCACCAGTGCATAGCGAAGAGTCTGGCTCCTAGTAACTGTTCCTGTTAATTGACTTGTTAAATGAGTGACTGAATGAACCGCTATATTCTGACAATAGTTTCTTAAATGTTCCCAAATCAGCACTTTTCAAGTTACAGTTTAGGACTGTGCTTTTAATAACTCCAAAGGCATTAGAATCGTAAGAAAAATTGTTGAAGCAAACTCTGGGGTCCCACCCTCAGGACTGTGATTTGGTTGTAAGGTTGAGGTCCCAGTTTCTCTGTTTCTGACAAGCACCCAGGTGATGTTGATGCTGTGGGTTCACAGGCCATATTTAGAGCAGCTCTGACCTAGAGCACACTGTTATGGTTTAGACATGAGGTGACCCCCAAACGCTCCTGTGTTAATGCAGGAATATTTTAGAGGTGAAATGAATGGATTGTGAGAGCTGTGATCTAATTGGTCCATCCTAGTTTGAACTGGGTGCTAACTGTAGGCAGGTGAGTGTGATTAGAGGAGGTGGGTCACTGGGGGAGTACCCTGGAAGGGTGCATCTTCCCTGAGGTCCCTTCCCTTTTCTCTCTCCACTTTCTGGCCACCATGAACTAAGCAGCTCTCCCTTGCCATGCCCTTCGACCTTGTGCTTGGCTTTATCTTGATCCCAGAGTGATAGAGTTTGCCTATCATGGCCCAAACCTTTGAAACTCTGTGCCAAAGTAAACTTTTTTCCTTCCAAATTGTTCCTGTCAGGTATTTTGGTCACAGCAACACAAAGCTAACACAAAGCCTAAACACTCTCCCCTGGAATGTTAATAAGTGTCGCTAATTGGGGTTAGAAGGTG